AAAACAAACAAACATATCTAAACTAGGTTAAATCTACGCGCGCGCGCGCGCGCACACACACACACACATACAGACACAGTCGGCCAGTAAAATATCAATTTAATAAACTGATCGAAGCCGGGTACTTTGGCTAGTAATACAATATGTTTACAAATAGGTAGGTAGAAGTTACTGTGATAGTTTTATGACACAAGATTCAATCTTTACTATAAACGCAACTTGCAGAACGTTAGTGTGTTCTAATTCTATGATATCATAAGCTACCTCAGTAGGGGAGAGATTCTTTAATTACATTAGACTACCCCAATAGTTATCTGCTATCTCGGTCTTTAATGAAAACTTTCAAGTAGACACGAGCTGTTTCTTGATGTCATGTAACAGCTTTGTGTTGTTATGGGATACAGTTGTCGCGTGCGAAATGCTCTGGATTACTTTTGTAAGAACTGAAAGATCTTTCCAAAAATCGAATTTTAGGCTTAAAGGCATCGAAATGTTCCAGGATTGGTAATAAAAAATATGAGATTATCTCCAATATTATTGTGTTATATGAATGAAATGTATAGGGGGCCCCAGCATATGTATTTACTCTGTGGATTATCAATAACTTCTTATGAAAGCAAGCTACCTGCAGAGATTACAATTGAAGATTAACCCAGTAAATAATGTAGCTTATTTAATATATCAATCTAACTTAGAGCACGTGTTAATACATCAGTCTGGCTTAGAGCATGCGTTAATACATCAGTTTACCTTAGAGCATGCATTAATATATCGGTCTACCTTAGAGCATACGTTAATATATTAGACTAACTTAGAGCACGTGTTAATATATCAGTCTAAGTTAGAGCACGTGTTAATATATCAATATAACTTAGAGCATGCGTTAATATATCAGTCTAAGTTAGAGCACGTGTTAATATATCAATCTACCTTAGAGCATGCGTTAATATATCAGTCTACCTTAGAGCATGCATTGTCTTAAAACAAAAGTTATAATGTTTAGGAAACGTTCATTTATCAGTGGGATACTCTCGCTACTAATGACATTTTCGACCGTAATCCTAAACCATATCTCACGAAGTTCTTCCATCTTAGATATCCCCTGGTGGATCAGCAGTATATTTACGGTCCTACAACACTAAAATCAGAAGTTCGATTTTTTGCGGTGGACAGAGCGCAGATGACCAATTTGCATATAAATACTTACAAGGAAAATCATTAAAAAATTATTAAAACGCTAAAACTGCATCTCACAGATGAGGTGGCTCTGCTTTAATAGATTCCGTTTATTCATGCGTAAGGTTTTATTTTTAAAAATTTTGTCTATACAGATGAGGTGGCGCTCCTTTAATAGATTCAGCTTATTCATGCGTAAAGTTTTATTTTTTAAATTTTGTCTATATAAAGGACAAACTGAAATATTTCAGACTGACTTTTCATATAATGATAAGCAATGGATTTTTTATGAAGTTCTGTTCGGTTCCACTGCTGAACTTCTTTCCGAGTTTTCTAAATTTTTGCCTTTGCTCATAATTCTTAAATACATTTCTCGTTTGCTTCAAGTCCCCTGGTTAATCAATCTACAGTAACTTTACGGACTTAAAACGCTAAAATCCTGGGTTCGATTCTCCGAGATGGACAGAGTGCAGATAGCTCAGTATGAAGTTTTGCACTTTAGAAAAAGAATATTAACCTTTGCTTCAAATAATCTCACTTTGGCGCCCTCTAGTGAGTTAAATAATGCACCCATTCATTGACAACGATATATCATATGAATTTTGATGCATTTCCTATTTTTTAATAAAATGAACTATATTACATGTGAAATTTCGCATGCAGAAGTTACAGCCAAATTCGAATGTTAAGGAACGATAAAACATATTTGATATTAATCAATCTTGAAGTACGATCGATGATAAGCCTTGAATTTCCGCTTCATAAATTGCAAATACTTAAAAAATTGGTTTTAGTTTGCTTATAAAGACAACATTAAAATCGGAAAATTTTGTACTAGGATTTGTTTGGAGTTAAGCACAAAGCTACACACCACAGGTATCGAAACCCGGTTTTTAGCGGTGGAAGTCCACAGACATACCGCTGTGCCACTTGTACTAGAATATTTCTTTTTTTTACTGAAAAACTAAGTGGAAATACATAAATTTTCTGAAATATTTTACATTTTTACCCAAACTGGTTCATGTCTTTAGAAAAGCTATACTTGAATAAGATAAAGACATATTGATGCTTTGGAACATGATCATACCAGGTTAACCCTTTTACTGTCCCATTTATACATATATAAAAACATTCTACCAGCGCCTGGTTTATTTTTAGATACTCGTGATGGTGTACAATTACTTATCTCCTGCTTACTACAACTCACGTAAATATAAAAAGGTTTTTTAGATTGTAAGAAATATTACGCAAACTGATCATTAGTGCATTTACTTACAAAAATTAATATGTAGCATTTTTTGAATTAATAAAAAAAAATTACTGGAAGTCTATTTCTCAACATACTTACTTAATATCACGCTTTTCAAGGTTAAAACAAAGGTTATATAGTGTGTCTCGTATTTGTCTCCGTGTCTGTGCTCTAGAAGAAAACATACATGTGCCCATGACAATGAAACAGTTAAGAAACTTAGCTGTTCCTACAGTGTTATGAGGCTGAGATGAAAAC